TGTCCTTTTCCTCCCCATTTTGAATGGCTAATTACCCATATACTGTGGTCCTAATACCCATGTTGGTCTGGAGAGGAAGTAGCCACAAAAAAATGAATGCCATCAGAAGCATTGTGATTGGCTCACAAAACCAGGCAGTCGGGTTAAGGTTGAGGCTGGTATGATAGCTTATTTGTTTCATTTGTGCCCATGGAAAGTCCAAATTCAACAATGTCTTACTCTTAATGCTTTCCAACTCCCATACCCTGTCTGTGGCAATCAGCCCCAAGTCCATTCATTCATCAGAAGTTGTGAAACTTTAAAAGCTCAGTCACAAATATTAAGTTTAATTTTAAAAAGTTATTATTAGTATTTATGGCTCCAGCATTGTGCTTGAGGGATTGGGATTCAAAATAACTTACAGTGGCCTTATTCATGGAAGTGCAGGTACGTGTCCCCATCACCCACAGCAATGGTGTGGCTCATTGCTGTATATTTTTTGGACAATAGCGGAATAAGCCATATCAGGCTTTTGGCTACACAGACAGTACTTGTTAACAGGATCAGTTCACTGTTGGTTTTGTTTTTTCATGGGATTTGCTGACAGTAAGAAAAATATACAGCCTTATCCCTCTAGGCATACGACTAACAATGGCTCTGCCTGGGTACATGGCATTAAGCCAAAGATGTCCGTCTAAAACTGTTGACAGGACACGTCAAACTGCAAAGAGGGTCAATTATAACTTTTTGCATTGTGACTTTTTAAACTGTGAAGGTTAATATTTGTATAACTTTGCCAGAGCCAAGAAAGAATGATATTAACATTCATATTGACATTCAGTCTAAGCAACAGGCCCTTTTGATAAAGTGTAATAAGTCAGGTTTCCATCCAAAAGGCAGTGCAAATTCTGACAGAATTTCCAGAAAATCAGCAAGAGAAAATGCTATTTTATGCACTTCTCCATTCACTACTGTTATGCCAGTATTAAGAGTTGGTTAATTGAAATAAGCAGTAGGTGCCAGTAATTCTCTAGTCAAGTGCCATGAAACCATTGGAGAGGAACGGGCAAACATGGCATTTAAAATTTTAAAAAACGAATTGATTAATCAATCAGCAGTAAATTAATCGCAAACTACTTTGATAATCAGTCCTTTTTTCTGGCAAAAGTAATTTTTTCTGGCAAAAACATATCACACTTGTGAAAATTGGCTGATTTTCTTTGCCTTTACTTTGGGCTTTTATACTGCTGGTCTGACAAAACGCATTTGAGTGTGTTTTAGAAAATGTAATGGGCACTTTTCACCATTTCCTGACATTTTATAGACCAAACAATTAATCAAGAAAAAGCATTAGTTGCAACCCTAATGGCATTTGTGTTCATTTGATGTATTATTGTGAAGAACGTTATGACTGATTTAGTCCGTTTTTTTTGCTACTTTCAAATGCTCTTTGTTGCCTTTTGTTTTATTGAAACACCAACTTTTCCACCTCAGCCAATGCACAAATTTAAATGCACATAAAAACAGGTGGATGGAAACACACTTACATACAGTATCTTTAGTCAGAGTACTTCAGGTTGGCGCTAAATGTACAAGTCATTGATGCTCATTCTTATTGGAAGCAGTTGGCTTAAGTATCACCAACTAACTGCAGTGTCATAGATATTGTTGTCTGGAGGTCACAGCTATGATTTACTAATAGACCACCAGAGAGCAACTTGCCATTCAGAGCCTCTGTCAGTCAGTCACATCTGTTGAGGAAGAGGAAGCAAAGGGGTGGAGTCAACAGAAGCTGGTGACCACAGCCTTCTCCCAAAACCCCACACACAGCCTCCATGTCCCACAATAAAGCAGCACACTCATCTGCTGATGGCCTTCCTTCAAAAAGAAAACACTGCATGCATTTAATGTGATTAGGAGTTTTCAGTCTGCTGCTTGACAACTGAGATTTAACATCAATGAGAGGTTCAGATGGATGCAACAGCTGCGACCCACAAAAGTGCAACCAAATGCTAAAACTTACTTTAAAGCCCTTTCTTGCATATATTTTCAATAGCACTTAACCATTGTGGATAATTAACAGCACCCAGGAGTGAAATTTTGGTACCTGTAGACATATTTAGTCAATGTATCACAAGTCCGTCTACTATACAAAGTAATGTTCATGAATGACCAACCATCCTTTGTGGAAGACTGACAGGAAAAAATGGTAAAAGAATCAAGTGAATCAAGTAAAATTTTATTATGACTGCAGATTCTTTAGCTTGATAAAACATAATAATAGGATGACATGTAACTTTACCTCTACAACTACAATCCGAATTTCCATTAAGCATGAAGTTATTTGACCACCACCCCCAATCAAAAGGTCCAAAAAATTATGTTGTGACCTGATCTGCCCTATGCCATATGGTAGAAAGATGTGGCTATTTGAATTACATTTTCAATGACAAGCCTACTTTCTTGGCTGCACCTATCACTTATTAACCAATGAAGCACATTAACCTCTAAGGAAGAAGGACCAATTCTGCTCAGTCAATGCGGTGCTTTTTCATATCTATTTCTGTTTTGAGTCTGTAATTTCGGTGGCTCCATTACTACATTATTTATTTAGATTGTGAATCCTGCGGCTCCAAGAAAAGAAACCACAAAACTACGGTCTTCAATTACAGACCTCACAGCCTGTAGCCACGCCTCGGATGAATCCCCTCCTCACAACCCCGTCAACACTACAGGGAATCTGATAATGACACAGTCAAGGAAACTGACATGAACACTGTTCATGTCACAAAGTCCCCCTTGCACATTTGTGCTTTACTAAACACGCAACAGTATGCCTAAACCACATGGGCTCCAACCATATATTATTGAAAGTCAAAAACCGGCACGATTTTGTTCCAAATACAACACCAACAATACTGCATTTTTGCTGGCTGGTTTGTCCTCTGTGTTAATAATCAGATAATTTGGCTGTCAAGGTGACTAGCTGGACTGAAAACCTGCATATACACTGCACCAAGTAGCACATGTTTGGGGGCTAATCAGCTTAGTTTGCAGCAATGGGTTGTTTATCAGTTCCCTGTGTTGATTTATGAACCAGTCTTTTGTGGTTACAGACAGAAAAAGTATGGTATGAAGAAGACTCTGTAAAAGTATGTGTTGCAAGTGTGTGTGTAAGCAAGACAGAGATGATACTAGTGGCAGCAGCAGAGACACTACATACTACAGCTTGACTGATGATTCTGCCAGGGCAACAAATTAGCTGATCTTGTTGTTGATATATTTCATCTGAATATGTGTCAGCTGATAAGTTCCAAGAAATTGCAATGCACAAATGCCAAAGATATGTTTGAGGTCATTTAGAAAGTGTCTCCATTACGTAGTTGATCACAGTTTAAAAATGTCCTGCTCAGTGCACATTTTAATCACAATTCATTAAAAAATATTTACTTTTAGTGACTTTTAGCTTATCAATTTTTTAGTTCTATTGTGTTTATGTAAAAACATGAATATCTGCCCACATATCATTATCAAATATCTTATAGTTTTCGATATATCAGTACCAGCTTCATCAATACAGTACTGGTTCAGCTGTACTACATACTAAAAAAAGAGTTTGGAAACGTGAGGAAAAATTGACAAATGGAAATATTTCCTTGTTTTTTTCATTTGTTTTTTAGTACTCATTGATTTTGGATTTGACAGTAATACCATTGAGTTTTGGACAGCTGATTGGACAAAACAAGACATGTGTTATATATAAGTTATATTATTATAGACCAAGCAATTACGCGATTTAACAAGAGAGTGATGCTGCTGATTATTCATTAAAATCATCACTGGTTATATCACTATACAAAAGGTTCTGGGCATTGACAGCTGTACTGGGAGGCTGTCTAACTGTTACACAATTAGCCGTGCAGAAAACTTTTATTTACATTTTTAGAAGCTATTAAACATGGCATAGTTGCAAAGCTGTTATTGCCCTTGCAGTCAGAAAATCTGGCGCATTCCTGTGCGGTATTTACTTAAGTATCCATCTGTGTTTGTCTGCTCTTTTGTCTTTGCAGACCATGTGTTGTAATCCCAGCTCAGGACTGGGATATAGACAAGCTCTCCAGCTTCACGACTCGGGACGGTATAGAGACTGGAGGGTGCTCTCGCTGGCATACAGCCCAGCTGCAGGTCAATACTTCCAGAGACTCTGCGACTGCAGTGCCTCTCTTGAAATATGTCTTCATTTCCCCTGCCACCCCTCACGCCCAAAGCGGAGGAGTCTGTGCTGCCTCTCCTCTTCTGTATCACATAACGTTTATCCCCCCATCTGTATCCAACCACTTGGCAAACTTCACAAAGGAGCTCCTCTTTGCTCACCATAAGTGACACCCAGAATATTTCGTTTCGTTTCTATTTTTGGACACCTCGAACAACTGCTGCCTCTCAATGACTTTAGCCATTTGAGTGGGAAGAGAAACCAGCCGGTATTCCCCCCACACTGAGTAATGTTAGCTAAGTCATGATGTGACATACTGGAAGTATTTTTTTTCATGCTGTAAGTAGCTAGAAAATGTGCGCATAATTACCACCAAACACAGCACCTAAAGTTGCCTCCTGTCCCGAGTGGAGTCATTTGGGGCTGAAAATCTAATTGGGTTAGCTTGTGTGTAATTAGCAGTTGCTGTGCAGGGTATAAGTTCACGTTAACTATTGTTAGAAAACGGAGTTGCATTCAAATGGACAAGGCAAACGAGATTTAGCTAACGGTGCACTGACGCCAGAAGCAGCTGCTTTCCTAGAGACGTAATGTTGGGATAACTGTCCACACACAAGAACCATTAGCTTAAATAAAGCTAACGGGCTTCGAACGGAACACAGCCCACTTCAACACAACGAGGGCTAGCCGGTTTTTTGGCGTTTTGAATCGGTGACTAACGGCAGACACTCCGGCCAGCTCCACTGCAACTTCTTTCAGTCGCCTAAAAAGTACCACGAACAAAATGAAAAAGAAGCCGTTAACTCACTGGTAAGTCCGTATAAGGTGAGAAGTGATGTTAAAAGTCGTAGTCCGTTGGATGGCAAAGTCCCTCTGAGCGGTGATGTTTTCTCCATGATCCCTGCGTGTCTGTGCGCTCTCTGCGCTCACTCTCTGCTCCGTCCTCCTCCTCGCTCCTCGCTCGTCCCTGCTTGGCTCTGGCTGGCTCAAGCTCTTGGGGAGCTGCTCTCCATAGCGACCGATCCGCGTGGGCTGTACCACTTCTGCAGGACAACAAGCACAAACACACGTAACCTATGCACGCATGCACGCACGCACACGACCCAAGTCATCCCCATTTGATTTTTATCTGTGCTCAGATTTTTGGTATCAATATGAAAAACAAAGGACATGAACTAGTCCTTAATACTATTTTCATACTTGGTCAATTCTATTTGCATAAGTCAAGAAGAAGACATTTGTCACGTCTTTTCATCCCGACATTTTATGGAGAAGGGCCTGCAGAATCATACCTTTTTTTCTTTTTTTAAATCGTTATTCATTTTTATTTTTATGTATTTATTTCAACACTTTTATTTAGCGTCAATAAATGTCAACTAATGATGTCAAATGTCAATAAATCTATACACTTACTTTTACAATGCCATAATGGTTTTAAATGGTTATGTTCTTGTTGATAATAAAGCCTTTAAACAAACAGGCTGCATGATTGTAGTATTGTTGTATCTCTTTGCAGTGTTTTTTGTCTTTTGTGTCTCTTAGTAATTGTTTTGCATCTGTGTGCGACTGTTTTCTGTCTCTTTGTAGTTGTTTTGTATCTCTTTGTGGTTGTTTAGTTTCTCTTTGTGGCTGCTTTGTGTTCATTTTGAGTCTCTTTACAGTCATTTGTGTCTATTTCTCATCTTTTGTCTCTGTTTGTAATTGTATTGTGTCACTGTGTGGTCACTGAGTCTTTTTGTAGTCATTTTGTCTGTTGTCAATTATGTTTTTTAGTGGCTGCTTTATGCATTTTGTCATTGTTTAGTGCCTCTTTGTGGTGGCTTTGAGTTTCTTGGTAGTTCTTTTGTTTCCTTCTCGGTCATTTGTGTCTCATTGTGGTTGTTTAGCATTTCATTTTGGTAATTTTTCACCTATTTGTGGTTGTTTTGCATGATTTTATGGATGTTTTGCATCTCTGTAGCTGTATTGCATCTATGTGGCTGATTTATGTCTCTGTAGTTGTTTTCCATCTCTTTGTGGTCATTTTGAGTCTCTTTGCATCTCCGTGGCTCACCTTTGCATCTCTATGGTTGTTTTATGTATCTGCAGTTGTGTGTCTATTTGTGGTTGTTTTATGTCTATTTGAAGTCACTTTCAGTCTGTTTGTGTCACTCAAATGTCATTTGTGTCACTTTGTGGTCATTATGTGTCTCTTTCATTTGATGGACTTTCAATCGTGACTATTTGATTTGATTTGTCCTCGATGGTGGAAAGTACATTTAGTCAAATACTTAAGTACAAATCTGAGGCACTTGTACTTTACTTGAGTATTTCCTTTTTCTGTTGTCATGTTGTTGGGCCCCTGTTGATCACCACTTAACATGGCAGTTTCATTATTTTTCCAGGCATCCATAAACCAACTAGTGCTCCAGAGCTGAAATGATAAAATGATTAGTCGAAGAGATGAATATAGAAGATGTAGCTGGTCAGGCTAATCTTAACTATGTGACACAGCTGAGAATCTTTATCTTTAGTTTCATCATATGTTTTATATATAAAATCTAAATCTACAAAGTAATTAGTAACTACAGTATATGTTGTCACATGAATGTCCTGGACTAAAAAGTAGGGACTTATACAATAAATACAATGTCTCCCTCTGAATTGTAGTGGAGTAGAAGTTCAAAGTAGCATGAGATGGAACTCAAGTAAAGTAAGATCATAGTAGCAGAGGCAGTCACAAACATTCTTATATCAAAGATGGATGAAATGGATTTACATTTTATACTAGCCTCTCATTCATGAGGCATTTTAAAAACATTGACTTTTGCTGTGGGATAGGACCAAGGTTAGATTACCATCTGGGCAAAATGAGCAGCTGCCCTCTAAGGCCCCATAACCTCAGGGGCCTGAAGGCTCCCAGTTCACCATGCGGCAATTCGTTTTTGGAAATCTGATTAAGAGAACATTTGTTTGGTAATACCATTTGCAACACTGAAGCACAAGATAAACTGAAATGATTAGGGCTTTAGGTTGACACCTGCATTGTTATATAATCTTGATGAGACACAAATCTAGTTTTAAAGCCTGTCTTATGTCAGTTCAAATTGCACTTCCATAGTACTGTGCATATTCTGTCAAAATGTCTTTAATCGTTACCATAAAATAAATACTAATTTCTAACTAATGCTTACACAATTCACAGAAAGTGGGAGAAAGGGTCAGTAGGGAGCCCCTAGAGGATTAAAGCGACCCTGGATGGGACTGGATAGATGAATGGATAACTGCATTAGTGGATAAATGTTTTAACATTTATATGAGGGATTATAAAATAGTGATCTTTGTATGTATTTTCTCTCTTTTTCTCTTAAAAAGAATGAAATAAAAGTAAAACTTTGTTTAGATAGGTAGGGAAACTCTCGTCTTCTCAAAGCACACTTGTGAAAACTGCTATTACATGCACATTTAACTGCAACTGCTGAAACCGTTAATTGTACAAATAACCATTTGCTTTGTAAGCCCGATTATCTTCTTCACAGCAGTGACTGAGCAGGTAAAGGTTCATTGTTTTGCTCAAGGAGACACTGTATCTTTATCTGTTTTGGCAGGCCCTATGGGTGATGTGGGAATCAGGCTTGTAACCTAGTATTTACACACTATCGATCAAATTTATGTGCAGGTTTCCGATTGTAAGCTGATGTAAATCTTGTTTTCATTTGACATATTTGTAAGGACTCTTGGACTACTGTAACAGTAACAATTCTATCAATCAGTCAAAATATGGATTACACAGTTTTACATAGATTAAGATAGATTAAGCTTGGGCCCCAACTACATTCACTGTTCATTTACTACTGTCTATCTAGCATATTGTAAATTAGAAGAGGCTGAGGATTACAAAGCAGCCAAAGAGGAGAAAAGCTAACACAGACCTAACTCTACAGGAATATTGCATCTGAATGTTTAATTAAATAGTCTATTAGCATGAAGATGATAGTCAGTGATTGTTGTGTTGGAGGCTGTTGAGGCCTATATCCTGTATGGACAATGTGTAACCAATGATATAAAGCTATTTTACAAGGAGGAAGTGAATGTGAAAGTTAATATAAACCCCAGGAGATCAGCTGCTAAAGGACAAAGCAGTCACATGCAACTGAGGCACTTGGCTGATTTCTGTTTCTGAAGTAGTGAAAAAGTTTGTTCTTGCCAGCTTCAGCACGGGCACACATTACGCTATCCTAAAAGAAAGTGGTAATGAAACACTCGCATTGTTCTTTTCTTTGAGATAATTACAGCTTTTACACATTCAGGAATCCAGCGTCGTGTGCAGCACGGTGTTATTATCATGCACTGGAGCTTGAACTGATAAACTTGCTCCCTCAGCAGTTTCAGGGGGACATCATATTTATTCACTGAAGATAAGCAATAATGCTTGTTTCAATGTGGATCCCTCATGTTGAGCTTCCCACTTCATTCAGCAGTGCCGTCTTTGTGGCCTGTATTAGCTCAGAGTCCTCATCAGGGGATGTGAACTCTGCAGGAATCCTCCCTCTTCCAGTGCTGGAGCTCAGCTTCGCTGTGATTAAAGCATGACCCATGATGTGTCACCACACTATACCCCCTGCCTTTATACCCTCTGGTGGTTTATTTATATCCTCAAAGAGCTATAAATCCCCAGGTGAAAGTGCTGCCCTTTTCACCAATCAATCTCCCCTCCTGGGCCACTTTGCATTGGAACTGTAAAGTCAGTGCAGTGAGGAGGCTCTTGTCTTTATGAGATGATAAATCACATCTTATTTTCTTCCACAAAACATTTAATGTGTTAATAATATCACCAATTTGGGTGAAATAGTTTCAGTGAGGCTTATTTCACACATAACTCGTGCTGCATAAATGCTCAAACCCCCTTAGTAGCACTAAATACTTTATGAGCATTTATGGGCCATGACCTTTGTAATTGTGGTTACCTCATTTAGGTTTTATTCTGCAAAAAAATCTTACTCAGTAAGCACTATTACATTTTCTTCCAGGCAGGCAAGGCTGTACTGGCACCACCTCTCCTGTGACCAGTGGGTGCACATCCACACAGACTGTCTGGGACATTTGGTTTTACAGTCTGTGAAAACAGCCTTTGTTAAACACGACATTCCTCACTAGTCACATTGGTGAGCCAGTCCTTGCACACCCCAAAACCTCACACCCCCAACCCCCCTGCTCTGTAGGCACACTCATGGTTCTATCCCCTGCCAAGGCTTGACCATCTAGAGCAAGGAGAGGTCACCTCAATGCTGACGCTATACACTTTTGCTTGCAGCACCACATAGGTCTTCCCCATAATGAGCTCCCTCTGAAATGACCCTCTGCAGTACACACTGACCTTTGGAAGGCATACGAGAAGACAATTAAGACAGCGTACCTGTTACAGAGAATATTCACGTTACTGAAGGATAAGGCTTCTGCAGTGGATATATTTGGCAATAAAGATGCAGGTTAGCGATATATTTCAAAGTACAATTTAACTCTGCCCAATATTTAATATCCTGTAAAGGCATGCAGATAGAAAGGAGGAGAAGGTGACATTATCTATTATCTGTCTGGAGTTCAAACTGATTATAATTCATGCACAATCATTCTGGACTGTACATTATATGCACATGCTGGCTCAGAGACAAAAAGCCACATGCAAATGCAGTATATTCACATTACAGGTTCTGTAACAACCCAGGGCTTCCATCTAATCACAGCCATAAACAGCAAAGGAAACAGTGTATGACATATCTTTTGTAATGAAAAGGTAAGTGCAATATGGAATAGAGACTCCAGTAAATACCTTTCAATTGACTGGAAATGAAACTGCAGATGCAATGAATCCAACTGCAGCAATGAAACATAAAAATGTATTACAACAGATTTAGATCGCCATCTGCTGGAATGAAAGGATAGCTTCACAAACCTTTCTGTGATGTCCCTATGAACACTTACACTGATTTTTCATACTGGCAATTAAGAGAATGTGCATCCAATGTAAGTGATGAAGAATAAAATCTACAGTCCTCATTCTGTGTAAAAGTGAGAACAGACTCAAACGTTCATCTGAAGCTAATATGAGGCTTCAGTTGTCTGAGTTACACAAATCAGGTAACTTTCCAATATGTTTTTGCTCAGAATGAGGTTGGCAAATTTTTGGTGTTAATTTGTCAAATTTACATCAGAAGTATATTAAGACAGTATCTCTATCTAGTATGACTAGGAGGGACAATTACAACAAACAAAGCCTGTTTTAATATTAATGGGGGCATCTGTGTATTGTTTTAAGAGAACTGACGATTGTTAACCTCTCATTACGTTTACAAAAAAAGGCAGTTATAGGAAAAGCCTTTGGTTCACCCTCAGAAGAATAGATTTGTGTTTTGTTGTCTGACTGAGTTCTTAACTCGTGAGTTAATCTGGGAAATTGGCAGAAAGTGAAAACAAGTTGCAGCTTGTGAAGCTCTATCTACATGCAAATGAGGTCAGTCTGCTTTCATCACATTTACAGGTTTTACCACCTTCCCACACATTAGCCTAAATCTGAATTAGAGAAATCTATATTGTTTTGTAAGTTGTGTGCTGGAAACAAAACTATCCAATAATGGAAGAAATTGTTTTTCAATTTAAAGAGTCTCAGTTTTTTAATGTTGACCAGAAGTAGGCTGGATTGTTTTCTGTTCTGTGACAGTGTGAAAAGAGATGACACTGCAGATGAAGTGATGACAGCGGGGATCTAAGAAACAGCCTAAAAAGCTCAATGGGAGAGAGTCAGGACATGGGTAATTTGCAGTGAAGGTAGAGCTGTTGAGTGACAAAGAGATACAAATGACGAGTAAAGCGACACTGCCCTTAAAGATGTTCTCAAAGGAACAGGTGAGTGGGAATCAGTGGGAAATTCAATTGCACCAGTAAAACTTCACATTATCAAGAAATGTGTTTCTCTGGGCAATTGTGTGGTCTCTCTGGGTTTTAAAGTTTTTAGTGGCTTCTGACATTTCAGCAAACAGAACATTTCCAAAGATTGGCCACAGAGCACATTCTGTTCACATAGTTGGCACAGATGTCGCTCATGTATAAAATCTGTTTACACCAACAATCAGTTCAGAAAAAATCTGGCAAATACTGGTTTCAAAGAAATTCCATCCTTCGGCAAGTCATTTGGATCAATGCAGTGTTACACAAAACAAGCACTAGAAACACAATATCGAATCTAATCCATTTGTTACTTAAGCAAATATGTAGTAAACACAAAATGAAATGCTATATTTCATTTTCTGATGCTACTGCAAGTGAAGAGCAAAAATAAACTTTTATACTTTTATACCATCTTGTCTTTATTATAATGAATTCAGACAAAATATAACACAAAAATCTGATCTCAAATCACAACACAATAAACAGTGGAGAGAAAACATAATCCTCTATTTTGCAGGAGCAGTTGATAGTCATTAATCAAATAAATAGTCTTAAAGGTGCTATTTGTAAGTTTTCTCTGAAGCCAAACATGGTTTCTTGCTGGGAGCGGGTGGTGGTGATTGTCACTTGATAAGAGCTTCGGCCATTGTTGTCTTTACAATACAAGAGGTTACAATATGCCCTCTAAGCAGGGCAGATTGGAGGCTACAGTGAGTCACTATCAGAAAGTGACCAGACAGGCCGAGGCTAGCTGGTTAGCGTGCTAACGTCAGTTGACGAAAAGATGTGATAGAGACAAGAGTTAACGTTGATGTTGCTCTCCACCGCTGGAGACAGTTTGACAAGACAGAGGCAAGTTTAATGCTGAACTCACAAAATTTCTTCTAGACTAAGTAAATAGCTGTTAATGCTAACGTTGGCTATGTAGCAAATAACTTACAAATAGCTCCTATAAGTGACCAAACCCTTATATGGAAACGTTTGTCCTCATTTTGTGTGATACACTCTTTCAGTTTATGAGCACATACATTTGTGGACAATCTACTACAAATGTGACATGGCAAATCACATAGTCAAATATAGGCTCAACATGAAAAACACTGTAGGGGTGATTAAAACAATTAACCAATAAACAATCAACTTTGAAAGTGTATCAATCTTTTTTATGCTTTCTTCTGTTTTCTGATACCTGTTTGTTTCAGTCTTCTCTCAGATAAGCCTCGGGCACCTCTTCCTCATCATGATTATTCTGGGCCGCAGCATATTTCGCCACCCTTTCAATCTCCATTACTTTGGTCTCGGCCAGCTTCTTATCTGCATCCGCTGACAGTTTCTGTGCCTCCTCCACCTGCGACAGGGCCACCTGAACGTTTGTCCTCACCGTGATGGACGCATGCTCAGCTCCTGGGAACACACAGACGCAAACATAAAGTTCAAGGGTTGACATAATAACACCACCTCAAGTTCAGACATTAGGTGTGGTCATTAAGAAGGCACTCCTGTCCATCATCTCCATTTTGTCTTACACAAAGCCATGCTGAGTGACAGCAAATGATCTGTACACTGTCCAAAGTGTAACACTGACAGCAGCTGAATAGGAACGGGGACAAACAGTTATGTACAAAGCTTTAAGGGGATGATTCACAGCTTAACACTTTTATTCACCATAACAAGAGCCCTGAGAAAACCTGCCTCGACACTGCAACCATAACATCCCAACCATTCAGTTACACAGCCACATATTCGTACTCAGACATTTACTTTTACACACCGGATGTGTAGGCTGCCTCAGCTGCCGTCTCACACATCTTAACTGCGCTGACCCAGGTTGACTCGAAGCGCTTGCATTCATCATGTCTGTCATTAACCTGTCAGGACAGAGAGAATTATTAAACCTAAGTCGGACTCAAACAGCTCTACAACTGGCTGTTTGTTCGTTTGTTTGTAGAGTTTTGCAGGTGTGCCGTCATATTTATGGTGTGGCTATCAATAAATGAACAGAAAAACTCGCTGACAGGTTTATTTTGAAGTACTTTTTCACCAAAAAGGTACAACATAAACTAACCTCTGCACGCTGGCCAAGGATCACCTGCCAAATCGAATCCTCTTCAGCTGGACTCAGTTTTCCCAGTGAGGTCAGATATCGTCTTTGGAGTGCAATGAGTGTGTGCACAGCCTATTGGCAAACATAGGGTGGACTGAGAGTTTATATTCAAAAATCAAAGACCAGAGTAGCACAGAGGAGTTTTGGGAGTATGGACAGGAACTATAGTTGATAAATTCAGACAAAGACATGTTTGTAGAAATTTTAAGTTTATGCTTTTTGAGTACCACAAATGACCTGTCTTTCACCTCTTTTGTACTGGAGTAGCAACAGACAGAGATCTTCAACTCCAAATCAGACCGAAAGGGAAAAGGCTATGCTTTAGTGTGCTTTGAGTGACTTGACAGTTTACACTTATATGGCCATACTAAACAAAGTCCACTACCGCTTGTATCTCAGCACACTACCATTACATTGCACCACACTGTATAAACTTCAACACATTGTGTGAAGTACTATGAGAATCATAGGCTGTCAATGAGGAAAATAAGTATATCTTTACTTTAAATTATGGTGACACATGCACTAAGAGATCCCACACTATACATATAAATATGAACGTGAGTATCTTATGAAATGTTTACCAGAAGATCAACACATACTTTTGAGTACTCTGTGATGGCATCTATGAGAGCCAGGGTGGTCTGTGAGAGGAAAGTGCTGGAACTGTCTGTCACCAGAGAGGCTGCTCGTCTGATCAGAGAGTCATGAGAGAGGGTATCAACCTGCAGCACAAAGACACAGGGAAACATGGAAGAGGGTTACAACAAACCGGAGGTGGAAGAAGTACTCAGATACTTTAGTAAAATTACAAAAGTTATGTCAACAAATGTTTCAAAAAGTTCACATTGCACAGAAAAAAGGTCTCATTTGTCGGGTTGTATGTTATATCATAGGATTTTTATTACAGATGTGATCATTTGTAAATGGCCTTTTAATGTTATAGTTGGCTGGGGTGCAGCAAATTTGAAATATTCTATATACTGTTGGGCAGTTTAATCTACAAAACCTCCAACTTCATGAGGACATTTCTGATTATGATCAAGTCTCTTTAAATAAAGGGGAAAAAAATCTCCCAGTGCAATTTATTCAACCAGTTTTTACTTTTTTTGTTTAATTGTGCTCTAAAAGGGAGAGGCTGTATCATGTAAAACAGAATGCTGTACTAGGATTATGGAAAAAAGTAACTTTTAGAAACTATCTGTTTACAAAACATTAATTTGAAAATAGGTTGGAATATTCTTAATGCATTGTCAGATTTAAAAAAAAAACCTTTAATAAAGAAAATAACACTTTAAGAACTCAATTACAGACTGAAATGACTTGATAAGAAGGAGATTTTGTGCACTTTCTGTTTTATATTTAAGAAATGGATCACATGTTCCCTATAGCTGCCAAATAAATGAAGTACAGTAAAAAGTACAATATTTCCCGCTAAAATGTAGAAAAAACCTCAAAATTGTAAGTACAGTGCTTCAGTGAATGTACTCACAGTTACTTTTCTGTAATTGTTACAAACACACAGGATATGTGCATACTGTAAGTTCTATACTCCAGATGACTACTGTCATTTTTACATGCGTCTGTCTCTGGTAGGTGACAGACTCACCTGTTTGAAAGGTACAGCACACAGCGCACTGCCAGCAGTTAAAGAAGCTATACTTGTGTACAGAACATTTGTCCATTTCCCCAGTCTATGCACTGCAGGTTTTTTGCAGCTGAACAGGACACGAGCAGAACTCCTGAACAAAACAAACAAACAGTTTCAGTTTAAAACAGTCATGTCCTGTTGAATCCGGGAATCTTACATTTAAGTTCTGGTTAACACTTTATAATACAGGATTTATCATCATACTTCACTGATTGATTTGGAATAAGGACAAGGTGACATATGGGAAAGCGTCTAATGTCTTCCAAGGAGGATGAACTATAACATAGTAAAGTAATGTAGCAATAAAACATATAGCTGTAGTTGGATCAAATACAGATAATCTTGAAAGTCTAATCAGGAATGTAGTAATTATTATTTCAATTATTTTAATTATATGGTAAGGTACATAGGCTGATCTGCCATTTTTATACTTTAATTACAAGAACAAGATTATAGGGCTGCCTGCAACTAATGATTATTTTGCATTTTTGATTAATCTGCTGAATTAATCAATGAATCAGTTTGTCTATAAGGTGTCAATAGTGAAAGCTGCCTGCTATAATTTCCTAAAGCCCAAGATGATGTATTTGAATTGCTTGTTTTCTAAAACAAAAAGCAAAAATGTTCTGTTTGCAATCAGATATAACAAAACAAGCAGCAAATCATCACATTAGAGAACTGACTGTTTGAAATTTTAGCATGAAAAAACCTATTATCATTATAAAGATTATGGTCTACAAGTTTGTTCACACAAGTTTTCCCAAACTTTTGACTCCTGTGTTCAGTACTGTACTCTGTAGATATCCAGTGTTTACACAAATAGTACTATTTATCTCTCCCTCTATAATGTCCAATTCTTCCACTGTCCCTACATTAAAGCAATTTATTGGTACCTAATTTAGATAACGAACTACACTGTAAATCACAGGTGTGTTACCAATTTCGGATACACTGTCCCTGTATGAGAACAGTGATCAAAACTGATGCTACTATGAAAACATAGTTAACACTGCGGTCATTTATTCTTTATTAATGAACCACTTTTGCATAATTTTATACAATTTAGAAAACACAATAAAGCCAATTTCAGGCAACGGGAAGCAAGTTGAAGGGTGTGAACTGACACACTGCTGTTGTCGTTGCCAGCGCTGTTATCAAGCTAAACATGATCATTTTCTGATATTAAAGTCGAAAGCAGCTTTTCACTTTTAAGAGACGGATAGTTTAGCAAAGTGTGTGTAGATTAAATGATAACACTTGCTTGTACAACGCTATCTAGCTCTAATACACATCATACCTGAGATAACTGAGGTAGGCTGCCCCTCTCTTGAGTGTGGCCATGTTGGTCCGCCACCATAAAATGTCCGTCTCGCTGAGGTCTCACAAAGGTTCCGCTGCTGTACAAAGACTGTAAAGACTGAACGCTGGTGCCCTCTCCTGGTGAAAACAGCGACATTATCATGTGCTCAACAGCAACAACTGGTGATAGTTACACCTTTCTCTCGTTCACTCAAGCACTTAAATACTAATTTGAGGTTCTTGTACTTAACTTGAGTATATTCTTTTCATGCCACTTTATATTTCTATTCCACTACATTTAATTGATAGCCGTAGTTACAATTTAATTGATGAATTTAGATTTTTGCAGACAAAACACACAAAGATTTAATGAATTATGATGCTTTATTATAAGTTTAACTGCAAACAATATATAAGAGTAGACATGATCAGTTAATTAATGGCAACTGTTTTGATAATGGATTGCATCATTGAATCATTGAATCAATCACTGAATTTTACCAAACAAAACAATCAAATAATCAGCAGATTAATCCATAATGAAAATCAGTAGTTGTAAATCTATTGTTAAAATGGATTTCAAAAACCAACTACAATAGTAAAATGCTGTTTATACATTATTTAATGAATAATAATAATCTAATGATATAATATTATAACAGTCACATGGGACATTTTCCTTCACTGAATTTGAATGCAGGACTCCTTGTAATGGAGTACTTTTACAGAATGGTATTGGTACTTTTACTGAGAAACGTATTTTAAGACTTGCTCCTTCACTGCTACATGTAAAATGAAAATAAAATGAAATGAAACCAAAACCAAAGAGATGCAGTGGCCTACATTTTAGTTTGGTGTATGTAGTCAGCTGTAATTCCTCACAAGTGTAGTCATTTTGCATTTTACATTCCAGGCATGTAATGACAAAATAGCACTGTACAAATATCAGGCCCTTAGGTGGCCTTTACAATCTCCCTGTGACCAGCCAAAGAAATATGTAGAATATGAGCAGAAAAATCAAACCAAATAAGTGTGATAAGAGCGATTTGAAGGGAAATCATTCAGATTGAAAGAGGACACTAAAAAAATGACAGGATTTACAGTGACAGCTGATGTGATGGATTGAAGCGGACGTTATGTTTGGCGTTGGTTGCATTCTAATATTTCTCCCAGTCATAGTACAGAATTAGAGATTTCAGTTAGTTTGAAATGAAAGGTAAGATGCAATTAAATCGTGATTCAAGACTGATTTACCCTCAGCATTATTTGTGATACTTGATGTAATGTAGTATGGTCTGTTATACCTACTGCCCCTATTCACTACCACAACAGTACTTCATTCAAAATCTAGGGTTGCACTGCATGAGAGACTAATAAGATCATCATACTCTGGCTTTCAATTACTAAGGACAAAGTATTTTATTCTCACGTAAGTAATCACTCAAAACCATAACATCATCCCTGTGACAGAAAGTGTCTGTGAGTCAGAAAGATAATTGATTGATTGTAGACACACAATGAACCCAAATCATTAAAGGTTCTATATGTAACATTCAGAAAACCCTTGTTGTTAATAATACTGGTCATTAGTGAACTTCAGTCAGTGGCCTGTTGTTCACGGTTGTGCATATAAGTAGGCATGAGTGAACATCCTGGGCATCAGCATCAGGATTTGTAGGTTGTCTTGATGGCCAGTCCAACTACACAAGACTGATTGTGATTGACCGGCATCATGTTGATAGATGAGGTAACTATAGTTACACTGTTATTATAGTTTGACTTATTGACTGTAAACTATAGTCAAACTATTTGACTCGCCAGCCCTGTCACAGCACTAAAACAATGTGCGGAGGTAGGTCTGACTATGTCTGATATACTAATTTGACTAAAGTTATGGGTTTTTTTTTTTAAAAAAAAGGATTTATAAAGTGTTTATAGATTTATAAAGTGTAATATCGTTATCAACAGATGTTGATCCTAGATTTTTCTCAAATGTCTGTCACATTCCTGTTTGGCCAGACAAGCTTCACTTGGTAAAACTTTTTTGTGTGTGTTGAGTTTGTTTTGGAGTATGTGTTGTGCTCGGAGCCGGTCGTTTATTGACAATAGCAGACTCAGGACTGTTAATGCTGTAGATGAGAGGGAAAGAGACAATGAAGCAAGGCACTAAAGAGTGAGCATAAATGTCACATCCTTTGGATAGTCCCAGAAAATTCGGCCTGAGCCCTTTACAAAGAAATCAGACCACAGGTTGTTATGGGCAACCGAGAAAGTCTCCTCTTTTAAGTCACATTACACTCCATTCACACACTGGCAATTAAAAAGCAAGTGATTCATTTAAATTTCTCCACACTCTTATATATAGTACCTTAAAGTTTTGATTTCACCCAGGACATACATTCAAACACTTACTGACCACCAGGTGTAGCTGAAGCAAAGCAAAATACAGTGACAACATGAAACATGGAGGGCACTAGAATACTAGAATAACTATATAAAAGTAACTAACTAAAGTACATTTTACAGCAGTTCACATTCTCCTACACCTGATATCTGCTATAGGAAGGTTCTATAGTCCAACATGTAATCGTATTGTGTGTGTGTGTGTGTGTGTGTGTGTGTGTGTGTGTGTGTGTGTGTGTGTGTGCGTGCGTGCGTGTGTTGAGTGACACCTAGTGGCTTCCTTCAGGTTTGTTTTCCCACTCAGAAGTACAGAAGCATTAACCATAAGCCACACTGCAGTGTGGTATTTGAAAGATGTAAGAGGCCTTTTGCTGAGTATCCAAGATTACTGGCTTCCTGTGGGCTTTGGTATATAGATCTATCATCTATTTACTGTTTTTTTTTATTATACTATTGAAATAACAATGATAATAATAATTCATGCCATGGTTTTAATGAAGCTTTTGCAAAAGTTCAATGTAGAATATTTATTCCCTTTTCACATTTTCTCTGCATTCTGCTTGTATTCTTCTATAGGTGTCTGCAACTTCCTGTTAAATAAACACACTTTGTTTAAAGTTCTGTAGTAGTTTTTTTTGTTTGTTTTCCAACTATTACAGGTGTATTCACTGGGCGCCAACATCAACAGAACACTCTTTGAATAATTAATGAAGCCATCAACCGTTGCTCTTAATTAGTTTCACTGGAGTTTATAATTACACACAGGACAACTGGCTAATTATCATCATCTCCATTTTAAGAAAAAAGTATCTGATGAAAAACAGGCCAATACTTCAGAGTATCAGTGTAATAATCCCTCATGGTGTCTGAAAGTTAACTATCAGAGGTTAGTTGTTAACTGCACAGGCCACACACAGTTGTCCAGCAAAGTGTAACCCAATGTTATAAAAATAAATACATAGTTAGGCATTTACATTATATATTATCTTTCCTGACTTGTGTGTGTGATTGAGTATATGCTGTACACACAGACACTGGTGCAAGTATGAAGCTTATACTATGAATTTTTCTTGAGTTTACAAGAATGATGAGTCACAGACCAATAGTAACAGAGTAACAGAGTCATAGTAAAAGTAAAAGAGTCACAGAGTCACAGAGTAACAAAGTAAAAGAGTCACAGATGCCAGCATGACGACATTATGTCCTGCAAACATGCAAATACAAATAACACATAAACTCACGTATTCTCAAAATGTAGCATAGAGTCGAATTTTTGGAGTCGCCACATCAAATAAGTATCATGTGTGCAACTACTGGTAGGATTTCAGGAGTCAGTTATACGTCACCCTTTCCAAACCTTCCATACATTTCATTTCCATAAGATGAAGTAACGATCTTATACATAAGAACACTGCTTAACAAGCGGGTTTGTTTAGGCTGAATTCACACCAACAATAGCACTGCATCCTTATTCACTTTAATGAGAACACTTGGCCGGCACAGCAGTGGTATTAATTCATAGGGCTCTTGCAGAAAAAAGAATAAGAAAATAAATGAAAGAAAAAGCAGGGTCATCCAGTGAAAAGGTTCAACATGGCTTGACTTTTGCCACAGTGCAGTGCCAAAGCCAAAAATCTCACAAAGATGTATTTGAGTCCTTAGGTACAGTATATGAGATTAAAGGCATACAATCATACCTCTGTGCTGAAAATTATATATATATATAAAAGTATTTATGGGTTGTCAGTGTAATAAATGAAATAGTAAAATAGTAAATAAATAATAAATAGTTACTAAGTGTCATTGTGTTGTCTGATTTGTTGCACAGTAGCTGAAAACTAATTAAGCCCAAATACTGATATCAAACATAAACATTGTCCAGCACACAGTGTAACTAATTGAATACAATGTAAGTGGGGGATAATGATGACGACATTGTGGTGCAGAGCAAAAGCTGGTATCATTCTCCTTGTGTTTGACTTGTGCATAAAGTGGCTGTCAGAGGACAGAGCGCAGCAGAAGATAGTCATCTCTGGAACTGTGAGCCATGATATGTATCAGTGGTGGGAGGGTTTCGGTAAACTGATTGATCTTCTGCTCTTGAACCTGCATAAATTTCACCTGTTGCATCTGTTTGGAGTATTTTCTGATTATTTTGACGAATGAAGTTTAGATGATGACAGATGATTTTCACAGTTTTGTCTCTTTCTTCAGAGATAAATGAATTGTGACACTGCCTGAGGGCTTTTTGTATTTAGTCGCCATGTTGACAGATATGGCTAACAACAACTCACTGGTTGATAGTGAATTCTTAAGGCGAAAGATCAATTACCAGGTAATTTTAGTTCAGATTTTTGTATCCCTTTTCCTGTGCATCAACTTTTTGCTGATCACAACCTTTTTTATGAAGGATTTCTTCTACACGACCATGCGATACATCTTATTTGCTAATACATTACTGTCTGATTGTCTGATCTTAATTATAACAAATCTCATGCTCATCCTGAGCTATTTTCGTGTCACTATTCAGATGCAGTTGTGTCTTATTCTATTCACAGTGTCCTCTCTGTGTAATTTTGTCACACCAGTTACTCTGACAGCAATGACACTGGAGCGCTATGTAGCTGTTTGCATGCCCCTGCGCCATGGAGAGCTGTGCTCCACACGCAGAACTGTGCACTGCATCCTCATCATTTACGGCCTCAGCTCTGTGCCAGTCACTGTAACTCTTTCAGTTTTATTTGCATCTATCACACTGAGCTTTTACAAACAATACATGGTGTGTACAGTGGAGGCATTCCTTTTATACACTTGGCACAAACATCTTAGGTCAGGTATAAGTCAATTTTACTTCTTGATCATGTTTATTACTATTGTGTCCTCCTATATTAAAATAATGAAAGTGGCCAAAGCTGCATCAGGAGAGGATAAAAAGTCAACAAAGAAAGGGCTCAGAACAGTGGTTCTTCATTCTTTCCAGCTGCTCCTCTGTCTCATCCAGCTGTGGTGCCCATTTATAGAATCAGCTGTGTTTCAGATTAATGTTGTGTTATTTATCAATATCAGGTACTTTAATTACATTACTTTTTATCTTGCTCCAAGGTGCCTCAGTCCTCTCATTTATGGCCTCAGGGATGAAAAGTTTTTTCTTGCACTGAGACACTTTGCTCTCAGTGGCTTGTGCAAGAACAAATCATTTGACAAATTAAAACTATGACTCTGCCACAGAAACTACTGTTTATTTCATATGAATGCATCTTATTTATTGAAATTCTTACATTCAATTAGCAAGTCATCAGTGAATATGCCCCCAATTCAGTTTCTCACAGTGCCCTATTTCCTGTTATGAAGTGATACATATCTATGATAAATACAGTTTTAACATTGAGCACTACATTTTTACTGTCCATGGATCATATCATCATGTCCTTCACATCTGAAGAGCCAGCTGATGATCCACTATACAGTTTGTACCACATGAAGGACTCCTGTACCTTCATCTACAGGATGTGAGAATGACTTCCTGCTGCAGGTTTCTGGATTGATTAAGGTTTAAAATGATATTAAATTATTTTTCAGTCCTTGGCAAACCTAACCCAAAACTAAAGACTTTTGTCATTCAGCCATGGTCTGTTTTTATATTACTTGTATGGTTTGTTTGGTTTGTTTGTCATATGTGTTGTATGGTTCAATTAGAAAATGGAGCATCCCGGTGCACATTCATCAAAGGATGTGACTTTAAAATGTCAGAGTTGTTGTATGTGACATCTTTTGATACTCGATGATTATTCTGAGCTTTGTATCCCTAAACACCAAAAGCTGTCTGTACTAGCTGGATTAACTCTGTCTACCATCTTTGTCTATACAAATAAAATGATAGCATCTTTCTTGTCGAATCCGTCTTATTATTTCTTAGTATACGACTCCTTTTGAGTACACACTGCGTCACACTGTACCCAAGCCATCCTAAGCAAAACAGACACACAAATTGTGAAAGTGTTTTAATATTGGAGGAAAAATCTATACAGTAGGAAACTGAAATGAATTAGGTGTTGTGGTTGAAATTAATTCAAATCCACAATGCTATGTACAGAGGCTGGTTGAAACACAACACATCATGGCCAGTATATACAGTACATCCCTGTACAATCCATTTTTTCTTAGTGGATCTCTCCTCTGATCCATTTGACCACATGATTACATAAAACAATCATTTACTTTTTAAATTTATTTTGTTTGTTCATTTTTTTTTTTTTGGCTTATACCATTAGTTGATTGTTTTCAGTTGAGATACTGAGAGGAAACATGAGGGGCAAGAAAGAGGTGTGACATGGATATGACAAGGTCCCCTCAGTGAACTGGGGACGTTGCAGGTACATGGTGGACTTGACTACAGGCCTGGTGGCCACCACAGGATTTGATGTTTTAATGCAGGTCATATCCTGCCACTGTTTGTTGCTATAAACACAAAAATATCATGGATCAACGATTATGCAACGGCTTCTTCTATCTTAACTGATAGTTGGGCAGTTACGGTAAATAAGTTACAGGAAGGAAGAATATGTTACATGTTTTCAAATAATGTGTTGTTTTGGTGCTGGTTGCAGAATTGTGTGTGATTTCAATTTACAGTGTAAAATGATTAATTTAATGCAAGCATGTTGATACTTTTGATGACAAATCAATAGTTTTCCCAACTATTTTTTTTAAACTGTTGTGTCATCCATCTTCACTCACAGAGTTTAAATAATTAATGGGCCAATTAATTTAATGAGTTTCATGGGAGTTTATTTGCCTTACGTGCATAGCAACGTGAACAGCTCATTAACATCGCTGTTCTATTTGGAGTCTAAATCCACATGGAAAAAAACAGATCATGACTGCTGCTACCGTCAGTACAGTATTCCCTCACGATACCTCTGTTTCACCTGCTGCTAGTTGCTGTGGGCACAGACCAGACTGTGACAACAACCTAAAATTTGACTGCCAAACAAGAACATATGATTCAACACTGCTGTGCAAACTTTCAAAGAAGTTCTTCATGGACTCTAACTTTCATTTCTAGATAAGTGGCTGAGAAAATATGGCTAAACTCGGAGCCTGTTTACAACCTCTTGGGTTCGTTGCCCTGTTAAACACTGTGTGAACTCAATTTGTTTCCTTTACTCACTGATTTGTGAGAACAGATTAAGGAACAATCTGCTACAATATAAAACATAAAGCCTTTAAAGGATGTCAAACATAATATCTTGATTGTAAAACACAAAGTATATCGATATATCTCTACCAAAAAAAAGAAAGAAAGAAGTATTAATCCCATTTGATATGCCAGACAAGAACTTTGCATAATGTGTCGACTGAACACATCAGAATGGAAACACTGTTTAAAGCTGTTCAGAACACAGCTTGAAGGCCTCACTTGAAGGCTAAAGAGTAAAAAGGTGAATAGCTGGGAGCTGGGGCGAAGCAATATTGTGTTAAATATTGCATTTTCAGACAGTTTCACATACGTACCGTTACACTCATGTTCACATATAAAGTGACAGAAATAGTTGTATAAAGGCTGAAAAAAGAGCCATGTTACTAGCATTGCTAAAAATGAGACCCAAGTTGTAAAGATAAAATAAAATAATGTAATTTTCCTCAAAGTGGAATGATTACAGGAATTCAACAGTAGGGGTGGGGAGAGCGCTAGTCATTCTTTCGCACTTTAGGATTTGAGATTTATCAAAAACTCCTGCACATGCAGCTAAATGAAAAATTGTCAAATCTGCAGGGAATATATAACCTCATGATACTTAAAAATGCACATCCAATTTGCATTGTTTTAATGCAAATGCATTTCTAAATGTTTGGTGTTGTGTGATTTTTCCTGTTCAGTATTACTACAACTACCTCCACATACACAGAGCACATTATCAATAAGCTTCTAAGAATATTTTTGAAATTTCTGCATTACACTTACCAAAAATGTAGCATTTATTTATCAGTTATATACTGGAGACGCAAACAGTGTGCATATTTAATATGTACTTGTAAAGGTATAAGTTTTAATATCACATACTGGTAGTCATACCAAAAATGTGCCCTCTTACTCGCATAGCTGTACAGTTAGATTGTCTATAGCTGTTAAATTGCATGTATGTGGGAAAACGTATTTGGAGGAGACACATTCCAGCACATGATGATGTACCTATGGTTACTATAGCCTGTGACACGTGTTGGCAATGATGACACTGCTGTGACTACACCTTCATTTGATGTTCCCCTTGTGTAACATTTGCCCCTATAAAGTCTTCATGCAGAGCTGTTGCTCAAAAGTCTGCACAGAGCTCAGCAGGAGACATTCGTCAATGGAACTGTAGGCCACAGTTCCACGTTACTACAGGGATGGTTTGCTAAAATGAAAGATCTTATACCCTGTGACCTATTGATAAATTTCTGTCAAATTTATTTTACTTTTATGCCATTTGCTACTGATGTTTGTTGTTTCTTTTGCTTTTTTTCAATCCCAAATTCTAGTGGTTGCTACTTTGATTTCCTTCACATTGAACTGACTTCACCTATTCACCACAGGAAAGGCAGTTATCAGAATTTAAAACCTTGTGTATTTGGTTACGACTGAGAGATATATGGCTAACAACAACTCACTGACCGGTGGGGAACCCTCACTACGAAGCGTTAATTACAGGCTCATTTTGGTTCAGATTTTTGTATCCCTTTTCCTTTGCATCAATGTTTTGCTGATCACAATCTTTTTTATGAAGGATTTCTTCTACATGACCATGCGCTACATCTTATTTGCTATTACATTATTGTCTGATTGTCTGATCTTGATTACAACAAATTTCCTGCTCATCTTTAGCTATTTTCATTTGACCATGCAAATGTGGGTATGTCTCATTTTCTACTTTTTGTCATCTGTATACACATTTGTCACACCAGTTACTCTGACAGCGATGACCCTGGAACGCTATGTGGCCATTTGCATGCCCCTGCGCCATGGAGAGCTGTGCTCCACACGCAGCACTACGCACTGCATCCTCATCATTCACGGCCTCAGCTCTGTGCCCTGCATTGTTGTTCTCTCCATCTTCTTTGCATCAGCCTCTCTTAGCTTCTACAAACAATCCAGGGAATGCTCTGTGGAGATGTTCATCTTTTACACTTGGCAGGCTCATTTTAGGTCAGCTATAAATCAGTTCTACTTCTTGATGATGTGCTTAATCATTGTTTTCTCCTATGTTAAAATAATGAAAGTGGCCAAAGCTGCATCAGGAGAGAATAAAAAGTCAACTATGAAAGGGCTCAGAACAGTGGTTCTTCATGCTTTCCAGTTGCTGCTCTGTCTTATGCAGCTTTGGTGTCCATTCATAGAAAATGCTGTACTTCAGATTAATTTCATGTTATACATTAATGTCAGGTACTTTAATTACATTGCTTTTTATCTTGCTCCGAGATGTTTGAGCCCTCTCATTTACGGCCTTAGGGATGACAAGTTTTTTCTTGCACTGAAATACTACGCTTTCGGTGGCTTGTACAAGAAAGATTTTTTAACTTAACAAATTAGAGCTCTACTATTGCTACAGAAATGTTGCTACGTTCAACTACATGGTAAATGGTAAATGACCTCTCTGTGTAGGGTTGTTGATGCAATGCTAATCTTTTTTTTTTGTTGTAATTTTCCTTTGTCGTGTCCATTCGAATGACCTCTCACCCCTTTGTAAAATTGTATTTTTGTTATATCTGCTGTTACTTGTCTGATTTGCCTGTTGTATCTGTTATATGGTTCAATAAACAAAAAAGTACAAAAGTGCGAGATTCACAATTAAAGCCCCAGCTGAGGCTGGATACTCTCTTTTCTTGTATTCTTGCATCTCTGTTTGATTGAGATGACTGGATTCTTTAAGTCTTTGCTTTCATGTATGCTGATTATTATAGCATGAAAACTCATTAACAAATCATATCATGTCATTATAGTCTATATGTCCTCCTACTAAACACTGACTCTCTTCAGCACAGACTCTGGAAGGCCCCAGTACTGACATTATTAAGCAGATATAGTATGGTCAGATGTGACCATCCACATTAAAAACTGATTCCCCCTGACCACCGACCATTGACTAAATTTTGAGCACCACAGCAGTCCCTTCTGCACAACACATTTATTATTTCATGTCAGTCACTCAAACAGCATTCTCACAGTGGCCACACAGTTTTCTGTTCTTCTGCATTCATTTGTTGACCTGAGCTTGTCACTACACAAATGAAAAATCAAAGCTTCCACTTATAGTTAATAAGTTATGTGTAGTTACATCCTATATATAGAAGAATGACACTGGTCAAATAGCTGAAAATAAGAGCACAAGTATCAGATCTGTACATGGTATTTGCCAGTACCAGGAATGGCTATAAACCCAGCTGTAACCTTTGGTTCACTCTCACTTCCCTATCAACATGCTTTCCATGTCCCCAACAGGTTATTTGTAATATTTTGTGTATTTTTCCCATGAAAACTACTACACCACCATAATATTTGCTCAAGATGAAATCTTATCTGTGGGTAGATTTTATGATAACATTTCCATCACACCTGCTTAAAATGTGCATCTTGTAAGGATTCTTCAAACACAAAATGAACGGGCCTTTACAAAGCTGCATCATGAGAGAATGAAATGACAAAATGGAAATGGCTCAGAGGGGTTTCTCCAACTGTTTCTCTGTGTCATCCAGATGTGGTGTCCAGTCATAAAGGCTGCTGTGCTGTTGAATTTCCCGAAAACAAAGGCTGTTATTATCAAGTGACGCTCAGTCATATACGGCAGACTCCTAACAAATATCAATTTACTTATTTGTGAGACAATATGGTTGAATGGTAGGGTCTCAATAATCCAGTCTAAAGGCAGCAGTATACTCCAACAGAAGTTCTTGTCGGATGGTCCAACAGTTTTGGAAAAACCTACATCAAACAACTTTGCAAAACAGACAATCCTTCATTCATCATTCACACCAACGTCACACAGTGATTTTCCCGGTTTGAGGTGGTGAGAAAGTTGATAGGGTTTGAACCTCTCGCTCTACCTCGCTTTCATCATTCTAACTATTTCTGACGCTTTTTATGTTAACAACAGTTTTCATGTGTGCAACACTATGAATGTCTTGCAGCAAAGGCTGTGCTGCTTTCCCCATATTTAAACGAATATTGCATCTCTACTGCTGGATTTTCACCCCACCTTTGTATGCAGCTTGCAACATTTACAAACTATTTTCTTTCCAACATTACCAGTCGACATGTCTAACATTTGCCCTCCTACTTGCAAATTGCAAACCTTATGTACACAGTAATGCGTAATTGCTAGAGCAATTACCTTTGAGATATGTTGTTTGCAAAACGTGGTGATGACGACACTTTCATTTGATAGTCCCCTTGCATTATAGTTATAGGCTGGACAGAGCTCAGCAGAAGACATTCATTCATTCATTCATTGACTCCAGAGATGGTTTGGTAAACTGAGTCTTATGTCCTTTAACTTGTTGATATTTTTCTGTTTAATTTATTGTGGTACATGTGATACTACAATGATGTGTATAGTTCTTGTTTACATCAGTATAGATTTCACCTGTTGATGAAAATAGAAATTATTTAATCCGTTTTCCATAGAAAATCAGGACATCCGTTTTATACAAAGGTTTTGGATTATATTTCCAGACACGGTTTAGTCATAAATGAGTGTGTAAAACCTTTGTACATTTGGTCACAACAGAGAGCTATATGGCAGGCAATGACTCTTCAGTGTACAAGATCAATGATAAGGTTCTTTTAGTTCAGGTTTTTGTTGCACTTTTTCTTTGCATCAACTTTTTGCTGATCACAATTTTTTTTATGAAGGAGTTCTTCTACACAACCATGCGTTACATCCTATTTGCTATTACACTACTGTCTGACAGTCTGTTTTTATTTATGACAGATATCCTGCTAATTTTGAGCTATTTTCGCTTTACCATACAAATGTGGCTTTGCCTTATTATTTATATTGTTTTGTCTGTATACACATTTGTCACACCAGTTACTCTGACAGCAATGACCCTGGAGCGCTATGTGGCCATTTGCATGCCCCTGCGCCATGGAGAGCTGTGCTCCGCACGCAGCGCTCTGCACTGCATCCTCATTATTCACAGTCTCAGCTCTGTCCCCTGCATTGTTGTTCTCTCCATCTTCTTTGCATCTGCAACCCACAGCTTCTACACCCAGAGCAGAATATGCTCTGTGGAAATCTTCATCTTTCACACCTGGCAGGGTCATCTTAGGTCAACGATAAGTCAATTTTACTTCTTGATTATGTGTATCGCCATTGTGTTCTCTTACGTTAAAATAATGAAAGTGGCCAAAGCTGCATCAGGAGAGGAAAAAAAGTCAACATGGAAAGGGCTCAGAACAGTGGTTCTTCATGCTTTCCAGCTGCTCCTCTGTCTCATCCAGCTGTGGTGCCCATTCATGGAAGCTGCTGTGCTTCAGATTAATTTAATGTTGTTTATTAATGTCAGATACTTTAATTACATTACTTTTATTCTTGCCCCGAGATGTTTGAGTCCTCTCATTTATGGCCTCAGGGATGAAAAGTTTTTTCATGCACTGAAAAGCTGTGCTCTCTGTGGTTTGTACAAGAAACAATGATCAGATTTATTTGGATTGACAAATTAAAAGTCATGATGTTACGCTACTAAAACAACATGTGTGATTATATTGCACTGAAGAATATCCCATTCCCTGTCATTTGCTAACAATAAATCAAACTCAACAACACAGTCTCCTTCCACAATCATTGTTTATCATGTGTTAAAAGAGTCTTTGCTATACAAAAGGTCATGTCATCATACTAACATTTGAAACTAATTTAAAAATCATTTACTGTCTACAGTGACAACTGTCTTGAAAATAAATATTCTTTTGCTTCATATTTGTCATGTGTGCTTGTAATATTATAGTGCAGCCTCTGGATCCACAAATCCAATGCTCATTGAGATATTTTCTCAAACAATGTCCCCCTGCCATGAAGGTTAAAGACCAGAAAGGGCTACCACAGTTTCTGCCAGGCAGGCACTGCTACACAGCACCACCTTTCCACTGCAGGGATTGCTAGAGCCTTTTAAAGGTCCCATATTTTACACTTTTCCAGTGTTTTCATTGAATCCTTGATATCCATAAGAAGATATATTTGTGGTTTGAAATACCAAAAATCATGTCCATGTATGACAGCAAGAGTGGATTTACAAAATATACTTTGCCTGGGCAGCAGCTACAGCGACAAAGCTGTCAAACAACTTATCCTGTTTGCGGTGCTCTGACTACAGGCAGTAGATGTCATCTCTTAACTGTCAGTAAGCAAGTTTGGAGTCCACACACACAGCCATCATAATAGTTAGTTTTCAGTTCAAGTATAACACCAAAAATAAAATAACACAATTGACAAAACAGGAAACTTAAAATAGTAAGATAAGTAAGATGAGTTATTCAGTGAGTGGTAGAAGAATAGCATTAAAAAGATTAAAAGCTAAAAATATGATTGGAGAGGCTGAACAAAACACTAATAAGAGTTCTTAATAGAGGTCAAATAAAAATATAGCAGGTTTCAGGTAAACACTCAGAGAAACCAAATCCTGCAAGGTTGGATGGTGGGTCCAGGTGGCCTGTGCAGGGGGCATAGTAGAGTGTGGTCTTTTGTTACGACATCACAAAGTTATAGAAGTCCTGACAGCTTGTTTTAAGGCAGTTTCTGAGTATATGTTGTGTGCATATCTGCCTGGATTGAGCACTTTGATACTTTTACAGCATTTATAAAGCACCAAGGCCTCAAAATTGAAAGGGAAATCTCACTCTTCACAATATGGGACCTTTTAAAACAGCCTTTGTTACATAACATTCCTCACTTAGCCTGTCGGTGTACACATGTACACTTTAAACTCCGTCATCTCTCTACTGATGCAACTCCCTCTGCAGTACACACACTGACCTTTGGACAGTGTCTTAAATACAGTTTGCATACCTGTCACACAGCACGATCTATCTATCATTTATACATTTTATTCATTTTTGATACAATACAGTGGGAGGATAAGTGTAGGTTTAGAAATTTTAGAGTTAAGCATGTTAGCATTGTCATTATGAGCATGTAAGCATTCAGCTCAGATCACAGCTGTGTTGAGTACAGTCTCACAGAGCTGCTGCCATGGCTGTATTACTCATGTCTTGTTTTTACCACAACAGACCTGAAATGACTCTCAACCCAGTGCTTTCACTTGGCTGCAAACCACAACAGTGTGTATAATAGTATCTGCAGAGAAAATGAAATTCTGAGATGCCCAAACTTGACTCTCTTGGTGTTTCTTTGTATTCTCTGGTGGTCACATAGGTTTGCTGCAATAACACACCAGTAGAAGACCTACACATGACTCTCATGAGTTCACTCTAGAGACTCTCCAGCACTCCAGCACCAATTAGTTACAGTAACAGTTAAAGAGCAGTGACGACCATGTTTTTGTATAGTATGGCAGATATCAACTCAAGTTACATTTGGTGGTATTCTTGGATGTTCATGTCACTACTATAAAGTCATAATGCACTATCCTGCAGAAGGCAGCACAGAGCTCAGGAGGGCAGAATAATGTGCCTCAATGCCACGTTAATGCTGAGAGGATTTTGTAAATGTCTGTACTTGAACCATGTTCTTAATGCTTAAAATTTGCTTGACGTTGGACTTAAATAAGACTGTCATATTACTGTGTGTTGATATCACAAGGTATGTCATTTGACTTTTGGAAGTAAGTAAAATATTTTATATCGTATGGCAGATAACAAGTCAATGGGTGGTGGTGAGTCCTTGCAGTTCCAGTTGAATGACTGGGTCACTATAGTGCAGCTTCTGGTTTTGATTTTCCTTTGCATCAACTTTTTGCTCATTGCGACCTTTTTTTCAAAGGTCTACTTCTACACAACCATGCGTTACATCTTATTTGCTGTTACACTATTGTCTGATAGCTCGATATTAATCATGTCTAATAACCTGCTTATCTTGAGCTACTTTCGTTTCACCATGCAAATTGGCTTGTGTGTCATTATCTACATTCATTTGGTTCTTTGCACTTTTGTCACACCTGTTACTCTGACAGCAATGACATTGGAGCGCTATGTGGCCATTTGCATGCCCCTGCGCCATGGAGAGCTGTGCTCCACTCGCAATAGTATAAACTGTATCCTCATCATTCACAGCCTCAGCTCTGTGCCCTGCATTGTTGTTCTCTCCATGTTCTTTGCATCAGTACCACATAGCTTGTATACCCAATACAGCATATGCTCCATGGGCATGTTTGTGTTTCTCCGATGGCAGAATAATGTTAAATTAGCTGTATATCAGTGCTACTTTTTAATCATGACCGTCACCATCATTTTCTCCTACAGTAAAATAATGAAAGTGGTCAAAGCTGCAACAGGAGAGGATAAAAAGTCAACATGGAAAGGGCTGAGAACAGTGGCTCTTCATGGTTTTCAGCTGCTGCTCTGTCTCATCCAGTTGTGGTGCCCATTCATAGAAACTGCTGTACTTCAGATTAATTTAAAGTTATTTATTGATGTCAGGTACTTTAATTATATCATGTTTAATCTCACTCCAAGATGTCTGAGTCCTCTCATTTATGGCCTCAGGGATGACAAGTTTCTTCTTGCGCTGAAACGCAATGCCCCTTTTGGATTTCCCTGTGTAAAATGTATGAAAAATGTGTAGATCTCTGTTCTCTGAAAAATTGGCATCATGATCTGTCGCTATTATTTTTCATTACATGCTAACAGTTCATTATATACTCTTTTTCTTCATTCTTTGTTTCTTGTATTATGTAGTTATGTTGTCTTTGTTGTTAATTGTGTTTTGAGTGTTTCTTGTTTTCAGCTCTCTCTTGAAAGAAAAGATAATCTCAATGAGACTGCCTGATTATATAAAGATTAAATAAAAAAATGAAAACATAAAATATATCATTCTCCATCAAACTACATCATACACTTATTCGTCATTGTACAACATTATGAATAAATAAATAAATACATGGACAAATGCTGTGTTCGAGGGCAATATGTGATGGCTTTTGATCAAATAAATCAAATTTGGATGATAATTTAAACTACATACAATATTAACCTGAGTTGTGCAACATGATTTTAATTAACTGAATTTTGACCACTCTGCCACTCTGATGAGGGCCCTTGACTGGCATTGTAGTTTTTAGTATTTTTTGGGTACATTGTTGTCAGGTTTCTACAGTGGTACATAACTGATGCACATTTTCTTTTCAAATTAATAAGGCTTTGGTACAGTATAGGAAATCATAGGAGATCATAGGAGATAGTTGTGGCATGCCAATATCAGTATATACAGTATGATTAAACAAATCCATATTAATGGCTCTGTATTAATATTGTGAAAAGACTGAAAAGGTCTGTCAAAAGCTCAGGGTCTAGGATCAGCAGATACTTATCAATCAGACAAACCTCCCAAATCTCATGTCTGATGAGATAGCACCACAAGTGTGTGGTATGTCTTGTGTCATTGTGTGTTAAGTGGTTGTTCTGTTCCTTGCTGTCATTCTATTTGCTCTGTGTCGTCATCTAGTCAGCTATAAATCAGTTTTACCTCTTGATGATGTTTTGCACAATAGTTTTTTCCAGAGGGTGATGATTGCTGGTGGCAAGCTGTGAGAACGCCAAAAAGCCAACCATGCTGCTTCTTTAAACAATTAAACATATTCATGAATTTGTTCTAGGGGATAAATAAAGTATCCATCTATCTAAACATAAAGATCAACTTTATATCCCCACTTACTGACTTTCTCCCAGGAAACAATAATCTCACTTCACTCTTACATTCAGATATTAGAAAAGAAATACAAAACCTCCTTGGCAGAGAATGAATAATTAAAAGAGAAAACACATGCACTCGAAAATCACAGCAGGAAATTTTATTTGGGCATCATTGGTTTACAACAAAGAAATAAGGCAAATAAACCAACTGCTTTTGTTACCAAACTTCTGTATGAAAGATAAACTGGGGTTGCTTATATACTGACATTGTTCAAAACTGAGTTTAAATGCATTTGGCTAAGGTGTATGTAAACTTCTGACTTCAACTGTATATATTGGATATTTTGTTGACTGTGTTATTATCCACACAATTCATATCTTAATGATGAATATTTTATTATAATAAGCTGAATGAATTGATTGAAAAACAATGACTGTAGGCAGCAAAGTACTTTCTGGTATGTTCTGTGAACTGGACATAATTCAGTTTTGTCTCATGGACCACTTCATAAAACAGTTTATTGTTAGTGGTGACCGGGGAGCAAGGAAGTTACTATTATATACACGAGTCAGCTTTAGAAAATTTTACAGTGGGCAAGAGCATTTTACGTTAAAACGCTGCATCATGATTGGTTAATTTACAAGGTAGGCGGACTTAACGTACGAAGAACACTGGGAGCGAAAAGCAGACAGGAGGTATGGAAGAGATGCCACGGAAGCTCTCAAATGAAGGTAAGCAACATCCGGTAAATCCCTCAACACTTAGATGAGAAGTATTAATGTAGGTTTTGATAGTTTTTGACAAATATGGTCTGCATATGTGTCTAACATCGAAGATAGCCAGCCTCAAGCCACATGTGGCTATGAACTAACATTAGCTAACTTTTACTGCAGCGCGGACTAATTAGTGGAGAATCACCTTAAGTTATACCGGTAGCCTCTAAGGCTACACCCTCTGAAAGACAGTATTACGGCCCGAGGTCACGGCTTCCTTGTGGGTTTTTATGAGGTTGACCTCCAGCGAGCGCTGCCGAAATACTGTCTTTCATCTGGCTCAAGTTTAAAGGGTCTTCCCTCTGCAGACATGCCCGCATAATGTTAATAACATGCAGTTTGGGCAAAACCATGCAGTTCTTTGCATGCTGTACAAATTCTATTCTATCTATTCTATAATGGCGTATTAGACTGTTTCTGCATACTGTGGGCCTTAAACGGTCCTGGAGTTAAATAAATTGGTTATGTCTGGAATGCTGGGTCTCCTGTGGATCCATTGAGCCTAATTTTACTCATGTGTTCTCATCTTAGTCCTTGTATTTTGGGGTCTACAGTTCAAGAGTGAGAGTAAAATGCAGCCGAAAATCAAAACATGGAGGTTCGGGCATCTGATTAGATGACATCAGCCAGGTGGACGAGCTAAGTGGTGATGACAGCACTGAGGTAAGCAGAGTTTCACTGTGTGTTATTTTTGGATGCTGTAGTCTTTAAAGTCATCATACACAGCCCTCTCTAAGAAGGCTACACAGAAATCAGCAGATGACAATAGCCTTTAAACAAAATGGAGGGTTTGGTAAGCAGCTGTCTTTAAGTCTTTAACGTAGCGTCTGAACAATTCAGATGCACTTTGATCATTTTGCAAAAATAATCTAATTTTGTATTGGCAGACATGTTACATAATGACACTTGACTGGATTTTTGGTAGTGCCTCAAAAAAGTGTGTGAAGACATATGAAGACATGGCTGCTAACAACTCATTAGCTGGTGATGATTTCTTGCTGCGAAAGGTCAGGTTCATTGTTCTACAGACACTGATGATGATTTTTCTTTTCATCAACTTGTTGCTCATCATAACCTTTTTTAAAAAGGAGTATTTCTACACAACTGCTCGCTACATCCTATTTGCTGTTTCTTTACTGTCAGATAGTTTCTTGTTGTTTATGTCTGATATCCTTCTCATCTTCACCCATTTTCATATTACTATTCAAGTTTGGTTGTGTATCATTATCTTTGTTGTGGTACTTGTGTATGTTACAGTCACGCCAGTTACTCTGGCAGCAATGACCCTGGAGCGCTATGTGGCCATTTGCATGCCCCTGCGCCATGGAGAGCTGAGCTCTACACGTAATACAATGAACTGTATCCTCATCATTCATGGCATCAGCTCTGTGCCCTGCATTGTTATTCTCTCCACCTTCTTTGTATCAGCTTCACTTAGCTTCTACACAAAATGTCAGTTCTGTTCAGTAGAGGTGTTTATGTTTTACATATGGCAGCATAATCTTAGGTCAGCTGTATACCAATTCCAGTTTTTGATTATGAGCATCATCATTGTTTTCTCTTATATTAAAATAATGAAAGTGGCCAGAGCTGCATCAGGAGAAGATAAAAAGTCATCAAAGAAAGGGCTGAGAACAGTGGTTCTTCATGGTTTTCAGCTGCTGCTCTGTCTCATCCAGCTGTGGTGCCCGTTCATAGAAAGTGCTTTGTTTCAATTTAACTTAAGTTTATATGAAATTGTCAGGTACTTAAATTTCTTATTTTTTTATCTTGCACCGAGATGTCTGAGTCCTCTCATCTATGGCCTCAGAGATGAAGTTTTTTTTCAAGCACTGAAACACTATGCCTCCTTTGGCTTGTATAAAAGAAATCATATTTGACAAATTAGATTAACATTTAATCACATTCTGTGTCCATTCTGTATTTTTCTATGTCTACTGTGGATGTTGAACTGGTCTTAATAGGCTGTGCTCACGGATACTGATCCAGCAGGCCTGTGAGTTTTTTCGACAGAAAACCACAGTGTTAGTGATGATGGATCAGTATCAGGTCTTACATGACATCATAATGAGTAATAATAATCAGTGAGATCATTGGCAGCCGTCAGTCATGAAGTGTCTTTTTTTTTTTACATAGTTCAGAACAGTTATAGCTTAATATGGAAAATGCAGCATGTAATTCTCTAGTACACATCACTGTGTTCATGCTGTTTAGTCCATATTGCTGATTAGACTGGATAATGTTACTGTCAGTCCTGTAGTGACACATGTAATATGGATACTTGTTTGTGAACTTTGTCAATTCACACTGTAGTCAAAACTCTTCAAGTAGGAATTTAATTGAGCTAGAGGGATTGAGGATTGTTGGTGTTGGCGTTCATATTTTTAAGTCAATGCTTCTTTGCTTCATGGTATAAATTAGGGATCAACTGATTATGGGCCTGAGCGATTTACTGTTTCCGTGATTTCCACCGTGGAACTGTATGTTATTGTAACTATAATGACAAATGTCCAAGACGCTTGCCCCCTCCGTAGAGGCGCTACTTTTGGATAAGCTCCTATTGTTTGTATTACAGGACTTCAACTTATCAGCATTTGGGTGAAATTGTCTCTTTACACAATGCTCATAAAAAAATGGGGGTCTCTGTATACACAAAGCACTTATAACACTTGGTTATTATTTTGCATGCAAGTACCTTCAGAAGGTGAAATTCTTGAACTTATATGTAAAAATTGGGAAAATAATTGTACAGGGTTAATTAACATCAGCTAGTTAGAGGGAGGAGCTAAGTGATGAGCAATGAGATGAGCAAAGTTTCATTTTGTGTTATTTTTAGATGCTGTAGTCTTTAAAGTTATCGTGCACAGCCCTCTCTCAGAAAGCTGCACAGAGCTCAGCAGAAGACATTAATCTTTAAACAACATGGAGGGTTTGGTAAACTGCTGTCTTTAACACGGCATTCAAGTAATTCAGATGAACTTTGATCATTTTGCAAAAAGAATCTAATTTTGTAGTGACAGACATGTTACATAATGACACTTAAGTGGATTTTCGGTAGTGCCTCAGAAAAGTGTGTGTTTGCTTAGAAAACATATGAAGACATATGGCTGCTAACAACTCATTGACTGGTGATGATTTGTTGCTCCTAACGGTGCAGTTCGTTGTTGTGCAGTCACTGGTGATGATTTTTCTTTTCATCAACTTGTTGCTCATCATAACCTTTTTTAAAAAGGAGTATTTCTACACAACTGCTCGCTACATCCTATTTGCTGTTACTTTACTGTCAGATAGTTTGTTGTTATTCATGGCGGATATCCTTCTCATCTTCAACCATTTTCGTATTACCATTCAAGTTTGGTTATGCATCATTATCTCTGTTTTGATACTTGTGTATGTAACAGTCACACCAGTTACTCTGGCAGCAATGACCCTGGAGCGCTACGTGGCCATTTGCATGCCCCTGCGCCATGGAGAGCTGAGCTCTACACGTAATACAATGAACTGTATCCTCATCATTCATGGCATCAGCTCTGTGCCCTGCATTCTTATTCTCTCCACCTTCTTTGCATCAGCATCTCTAAGCTTCTACACAAAATATCAGATATGTGTAGCTGAGTTATTAATGTTTTACATATGGCAGCATAATCTTAGGTCAGCTGTATATCAATTCCAGTTTTTGATTATGAGCATCATCATTGTTTTCTCTTATATTAAAATAATGAAAGTGGCCAGAGCTGCATCAGGAGATGATAAAAAGTCATCAAAGAAAGGGCTGAGAACAGTGGTTCTTCATGGTTTTCAGCTGCTGCTCTGTCTCATCCAGCTGTGGTGCCCGTTCATTGAAAGTGCTTTTTTTCATATTAACTTAAGTTTATATGAAATTATGAGGTACTTAGATTTCTTACTGTTTTATCTTGCACCGAGATGTCTGAGTCCTCTCATTTATGGCCTCAGAGATGAAGTTTTTTTTCAAGCACTGAAATACATTGCCTCCTTTGGCTTGTATAAACAAAATCTTATTGACAAAATGAATTAACAGTTAATCACACTCTGTGACCATTCTGTATTTTTCCATCACAACTGTGGATGTTGAACTGGTCTTAATGGGCTGTGCTCATGGATAATGAGCCAGCAGGCCTCAGGGGCTTTTTCCACAAAACCACAGTATCAGTGATGATGGATCAGTATCAGGTCTTACATGACATCATAATGAGTAATGATAATCATTGAGGTGCTTGGCAGCCATCAGTCAAGTTTTGATTAATAGTGTGCACAGTTATAGCTTAATATGGAAAATGCAACCTTGTAATTTAACTCTAGTACACATCCCTGTGTTCATGTAGTTGAGTCCGTATTGCTGATTAGACTTATTATTAACTGGACAACGTTAGTGTCAGTCCTGTAGATGCATGTAATATGGATACTTGTTTGTGAAGTTTGTCAATGTACGCTGTAGTCAGAGATCTTCAAGAAGGAATTTAATTGAGCTGGATGGATTGAGGGTTGTTGGTGTTGTCTTTTGTATTTTAAAGCAGAATAGCAGCTTTTTTGCTTGATCGTATAAATAGTTAGCTTTTGAAAAAATCACGTGCTGTCAAATTTATTTCCTCTGCCAATGAGTCCGACATGTTTCTTCTGCCATCTTAAATACCAGAAGACCTTGTACTGGACCATTCACACACTGGCTGAGAAAAAATGTAAAATAAACTAGGGCATTCACGAGTGCTGTATTTCAGTAGTCATTGACTACTCCCAAAAAGTAGTCGACTAGTCGATTAATCGCGCGAGATCTATCATATTTTTTTCACCCAATAATAATGATCAATTATTGTCAAAAACGTCTCATACAACCAGTAAAGGGTGTAGGCGGGACCAACCTGGGGGTAGGTGAAATACCAGAGCCCTCGAGTGGCTCTGAGAGGCTGTTTAAAAATGAGCCGCGATCTGATTGGACTAAATCCCCAGCAGCTTGTCTGACCTGGAGATACTGTTTGACTGCATGACCGACTGCTCTCTTGCAGCGACAGCAGGAGTCTTTCCTTCTCTAAATATCTTACATTATATTTAGTTAACATGGCATAACGTTAGAAGGCCATTGCAAAAGCTCTTGAATAGCCTACTATAAAGCACTATGATTACATGCTCAAACAGTTTGAAATATAAGATCAACATCGGATATAACTTGTGAAACTACTGTAACAATCTCGCCAATAAATATGAATGTCCACAGGTTGCATAAAGTTTACAAATGGTTTATTGAAATAAACATTGTTAATAGCGACTGTCTGACACATTGACACAGCAGAACGAGCTGTCGCAATGACACTTTTTAGATTATTAACATACATTTAACCCAAATGTAATGTATCACCATCATGGACAGTGTAAAGAAAAAAACAGAAATGCAAAACCTACTCACCATAATGAAACGCCATAACTAAAGTGTATGGTGATAAACGTAACTGCTTCTCATTGCGCGCCCACCACTCCAGAGGATTGCTCATCGTGGGAATGCGGCTCATCTGGAGATATTCCTGTACCTCCTCTGGGCAGGTGTTGGCACTCTTTACTTTTTTACTGGCATAGTGAGACCCAAACAGTTCCTCATAATCACTCTCAAGTCGTGTTTTTTTTTTCCCGATCTCCTCTCCATTGTTGTTTTCCACGTTGTCTGCGGCGTCATCATGTGCAGCTGCGGAGCAAATAAACATTCAGAATGCCGATCAACAAAAGTTTAGATCTCAAAATTTTGAGTTTGCAGGGCATGCATCTTCAATACATAAACACATACATAACAGACACGCGCGCACACACACACGGGCCTACACTACTGCGTAACTACA